CCCCCCCCCCCTCTCTCTCCCCTGTCCCTCTCTCTCAAGTTTACTTTTAAATAAAAAAATAAATTTTTATGAAGAAATAAATGACTTTTATAAGATGAGCATGTTTCATTCATATAATATTTTCATTCTTTTATTATCAAGAATTATAACTTAAACAAGAATTATAATATAAATTCACGAGTTATATGTAAATATGTATGCCTGTATTGCTGATTGTTTTACAATTACCAAATTGCTTGTAATATAAAGGCGAAGGTCTTCTTTTTAAATTAATTTTTTTTTTAAATTTCCAATAAAGTTTTATCACAAAACTCCCTTATTTTTTAAGACAAAATAAAAATTCCCTGAGAATTTCAGATTTTTTTAAAGAATAAATACCCTGTATAATAATAAACAAAATGAAAATTGTGCAAATTAGAAACTTGCATTGCTTCCTCATCATTTTATTTCGCTCACAAAGCTTAAGCTTTTTAAAGCAAGCGAGTTTTTCAATTTTGGCTTCCTCATAGAGAAAGATATCTCAAAATTTATGAAAGTTAGAGCGTGTACGGACATGTCTCAAAAAATTCAAAATTTTATAAAAAATGAACTCTTTCACCGATTCTCACAAAAATTAATGCCAACCATCCTTTAATGATACTCTAATCATGTAAAAATATTTAGCTTATAAATATCTCAAAATTTGCAGAAGTTAGAGCAATCACACCCTTTTTTGGAAAAATTCGAAATTTTATAAAAGCTAAATCCCTTCACTGATCCTAGCCAAATTCAATACCAATCATCTTTTAATGATACTCCATTCATGTAAAAAAAATTAGCTCGATATGTCAAAATTTGCGAAAGTTAGAGCAACCACGCCCTTTTGGTGCACGTACACACATACATACACAAAGCCTCCTCTATAAGGAAGCAAAGTTGTTTAAATTCATAATGCATCCATATTTTCATATAATTCAATAAAGAAATCTTACTCATATAATAATTAAAATATTGTTGCCTTTATGTGAATTTTTGCTTCCTTATAGAGGAAGCTTTTATTTTCTTGAAAAATTTTTTTTTTCAGTTTTCGATGCCAATGTATTCAGAATGTTCTAAAATGTCGAAAATTCACATTTTTTAAAAATGTCCGTATGTGTGTATGTATGTGTGTATGTGCACCAAAAGGGCGTGGTTGCTCTAACTTTGGCAAATTTTCAGATATCGGGCTAAATGTTTTTGCGGTGTACATCTGTGCCAGCGTAAGTGCTGGTAATCTGTCCACTAGATCCACCACGTGGTGACGGTGGAAGATCGTATTATTAATTGGGAGCAGAAGAGGGGGCTGCTTAGGCGTAGTGGTTTAGGATGGACTACTCAAGGAGGCTTCCATTCATACTGGTGGTGAGTCAAGACTCATCGCTGAGCGGCTACGGGCGCCAATTTTCAATCGTTATGATTTGGACCGATCTGGAGACGTGCTGGGGATTTCGTCTCTCCGTGACAATCGGCACTGCATCCATCGCTCTGGAGTCGTATGTACTGTGTTAGAGTGGCGTAAGGTGCGAGGTCTGAATAGCTCAGTGGTAAGAGCAGTTGCCCGGAAAGCGAAAGACTCGGGTTCGATTCCCGATTCAGCCACTTGTACCTCGCATATTTTTTCAGACCCGCAAATGTTGTTTTCTAACAATTATTTGTCGGGCTGAGGAAGTGTGTAAACGCCCTACACAGACATGACAGTGCCGCTGCCACGGAAGAGATGGATGCTTGGTTCGTGCCTCCTCCCGCCTTAAATCCCCCCCTCGCTTCACTTCATTAAAGGATGATTGGTATTGAATTTGGATAAGATCGGTGAAGGGGTCTATTTTTTTATAAAATTTCGAATTTTTCCAAAAACAGGTGTGCTTATTCTAACTTCCGCAAATTTTGAGATATTGGGCTAAATATTTTCACATGATTAGAATATCATTAAAGAATAGTTGGTATTGAATTTGATGAGAATTGGTGAAAGAGTTTATTTTTTATAAAATTTTGGATTTTTTATTAAATGTCTGTGCACTCTCTAATTTCTGCAAATTTTTGAGATATCAGACTAAATTGTTTTACATGAATAGAGTATCCAGTATCATTAAAGGATGGTTGGTATTAAATTTGGCTAGGAACGGTGAAGGGGTTCATTGTTAATAAAATTTTGAATTTTTTGAGAAATGTCTATATACGCTCTAACTTTCTCAAATTTTGAGATATCGAGCTTCCTCTATGAGGAAACCAAAATTGAAAAACCCGCTTGCTTTAAGCCCGTATCAGACTATGCATTGAGATTGAAATTTGACCAATCCGGACAAAGAAATTTTAGTTCTTTTTATCCTGATTGGTCAAATTTCAATCTTCAATACGTAGTCTGATACGGGCTTTAGGGAGCTTAAGCTTTGTGAGCGGGATAAAATGATGAGGAAGCAATGTGCAAGTTTCTAATTTGCACAATTTTCAGCTTGTTTTACTTTTTTGCCACTAGAAGAAAAGTTACATAATAATTGCCCAAAGTGCGATAACATCTTAGACTCATCTCAAACTGTGCAAGATTAAGATTGCATTCAGATTGTATGAAACTTGTACAATCAGAACATAAATGACAGCTAAAATGCATTTTATCCGGTATCAATATGTTTTAATTCTAAGAAACTATTTTTCCGTTATGTATACAAAAATTTTAATCTTTTTTAGCGCGCTTTTAATGAAATAAATTATTTTAACAGATTGAACAGAATATTTAATAGTAATCTTTAGGAAAATCAAATGCTTGCCAGGTAATTGATATCTATTACACTATTTGCTGGCAAAAAGTATCATGTAAAATATGTTATAGTATTAGATTAATTTAATGTTAATTTAATTATTAGTTATTATACTTTAAGTTCCGCATATCTTATTATTTAATATAAATTAATATAAATAAAATCTAAAAATATCTTATTTTAAAGTTCTCAGTTTTATAAGCCAAAAATTATTTACCTTGACATAAGCAACGTAGTGACCACCATGAACAGTCCCACTATGCTCGACGACCCCATAAAGCGCATAAAGTCGAGGTTTTTTATGATCTGTGCAAACCGGTGCTAAATTTAATAACATCGGAAATGATACGTGTTTGAGAACTTTCCGAAAACCAACTCTCTGCGTTTGAAACCTCTTCAGATGCAATATCAATACTGGAGGTACTTGAGAAATGAGATATTGCTTGGTACTCGAAGTGCATACCATTTTCGACGAGTTCTCCTGACTCTAAAACAAGAAAAAAAAGAGCAAAAAATAAGATAGTGAAATTATTGATTCTTGCTCATTAAACGAACAAAGTATGATTATTCTGTTTTAAATTTCTTTAAAAATTTTGGAAACAGAGATAGACAATAGAGATTACTTTCTTTTCCCTTTTTTTTAAAGTACCTTTTTCTCGCGAGTTGTGCATGTTTCACACACGACTTTGTTGCTTCCCGTCATTAGTTCCAATGCAGTAAATTGGTTTAAACATGATTCCACAGAACATTCGCCTTCTTTAGTTGTGTACCTGTCAGACGATTGATGTTCAGAAATTCCCAATCTAGACATTCCAACCATTATATCGCCAAGTTTATTACATAAATCCTGTTTTTCGGGATCATCGCCATTAGAAGTTCCGTTATTATATTTCTTTCTATTGCACTTTGATGGAGTAGTTGCCATCCATGTCTCGATACCATCCAATCTAAAAGAATATCATGCTTATCAATATCATACTTATGCAATTCATTATTCTAGAAATCTCAAAATTTTTGAATATAATATAATACATTAGAATCCCAAACTTTGTCAAATTTTTTAAATATAAAATTTTAAGAACAGAGGAATATTCAAACAATTCATATTTAATATCGTAATTTACTAAAAAAAAAAAAGAGCTAAAATTTACAAAATTTGAAGTTTATGAATTCCACATGTCTAAATTTCACAATAATAAATTTTCAGAATTTAAATTATATATACACACACACGTATATGTGTGTGCGCGCGTGTGTAAAATTTTTGAAACATTTGAACATCTGAATATACAACCTTTCTGAATCATTAACGGGACTAGTGGGGCTTTCCTTAGAAGCGATTGAGCTGCTTAAACTTGCAGTAGGCACTTCAGGACTCGTGACATCAGAATTAGGAATCATGGAGGTAGATAACGCCGTAGCCGACGCTTCGTTCTCAGAGCTGACTGAACCGACATTCCTATCACTTTTCTCTGACAGCATTCTGATTTGAGTCAAGTCTGTCATCGATACATCGGTTGGACTAGGACTAGTTAACACGTTAATGTTCACCAGATGTCTAATTTGTGTTATGTCCGCATTGTTACCCAGATTACCGTCTTCCAGACTGGTCAGATTGTTGATATCGTTATTGAAGTCGTTACTTGGATGATGATGGGGATCAGTAAGAGATATAGGACTGGTAACGGCGGATGCTTTCTCCGAACTGTATCCGGACTCTCCGATTTCTGGATGAAAATGAACCCCTTCGATGTTGTCCTCTACGTCAGCGTCACTCTCCTCTGGAAATAAAATTTTTATAATATAATTATAA